AATCTAAATTTAGGATGCCTCGGGGCTCAGTGGGTGAAGGGTCTGCCTTCAGCTCGGGTCATGATTCCAGGATCCTGGGATTGAGCCCCATGTCGGGGTCCCTGCTCAGCCAGGAGTCTGCTTCTCCCTCTGCCTCTCCCCCTGCTTGTGCTCTCTCTCTCTCAAATAAATAAATTCTTAAAAAAAAATAAATCTAATTTAACCGATTAGAATCTAAACATATTTATTTAAAAAGTATCCCCCATATTTATAGAACCCTGTCCTCTTTCTTCCAGCCTAATTTGAAATGTTAGCTCTGTGAATTCTTTGGTTTCCCCAGTCAGGTCCAATGCCTGTTTCCTGTGGACTCAACCTTAGTTCATACCTATTTGCATATTGTACTACAACTTGTATTATTAGACTCAGTAATCATTGGCTCAATCAATGAGTAAATGCTGCTTTTATCAGTTTTTCTTTACATTTCTTTAAATTGAAGAATTTAATTTTTCTTTTAATTAGTCCTTCAGGGTCAGAGATCGAAAGCCAACATTGCTGAGTTTGTTCCCTGACAAAACGCTCCATGGTAGTTTTTCTCTTTGTGGAATTTATACTGAGGAACGGATTTCCCACTAGGCGGCGCACACGTACCACTTTTATTTCAAAAACAGTCCTAGTATGAAAAAAATTGAGTAATTTAAAAATAAGCGTTCTTGGATCTATCTGTTCTTTGATTTTCTATTTATCTTTTCTTATGACAATTTTTTTAAAAGATTTATTTATTTATTTATTTGACAGAGAGAGATCACAACTAGACAGAGAGGCAGGCAGAGAGAGAGAGAGGGAAGCAGGCTCCCCGCTGAGCAGAGAGCCCGATGAGGGACTCGATCCCAGGAACCTGAGATCATGACCTGAGCCAAAGGCAGCGGCTCAACCCACTGAGCCACCCAGGCGCCCCTTCTTATGACAATTTTTAAAGGTTACATTTATTTTGTAAAGAGAATGGAAGTTTCCTAAATGGAAGGAAGCAAAGAAAAAAAGTACATTTTTTGTCGTCATCCTTGGGAGCTAATGCAAACAAAGGTAGCATAATTAAAGCATGTATATATCTAAAAGAAAACCAAGCTCACAATTCACTTTTAAGCTGAGGAATTCTTTTACACCATGAATGACACTTGGTTATAGGCATTATTCTACACTCAGTTCATTTGACAAATGTTTATTGGACACCTAACACATGGAAGAAATAAGAAAATATCCTTGTGTTTGGGGAGTCCACAGTTTAAGGGAGGATAGTCAGGTAAATATAAAGCATATTTGGGGATGCCTGGGTGGCTCAGGGGGTTAAGCCTCTGCCTTTGGCTCAGGTCATGATCTCAGGGTCCATGGATAGAGCCCCACATGGGGCTCTCTGCTCAGCAGGGAGCCTGCTTCCGGCAAACCACCCCCACCCCCTGCCTACTTGTGATCTCTCAATAAATGACAAATAAATAAATAAATAAATAAATAAGATCTAAAGCATATTGCACTGGTAGATGCTAGAATAAAGATAGGGGAAAAAATGCTTCAGGAATCTAGAAAGGATGAAACTAGCTATGGTAAAAGGGGTCCCAGAGAGAGGGGCATTCCTGGTTCCAGCTTAGCTAGCTGCTCTTATCCCAACTGAGCCTCCCAATGTCTGTTGACAGATTTCAGTCATTGTCATGAGGATGGGTGTTCTGAATTCTGTCCCTGTGCTATTGCCCCACAGCCCAACTGGTAGTCATAGGGTAGGGCAGTATTTGGTTATTGGCATCAAGGGACACCCTGGTGAATAGTTTAGTTGAGTGAGGCAATAGGGTATTAAAGTGAGAAGCTGAAAAACTTTGGAAAAGTAAGAGTAACTCTGTAGGAAGTCAGCAGCATTGGACATTGGAAATTACTGGAACCCCAGTCAGCATGCTTAACTGACCGGTGAGTTGCCAGTGGGTCCTATAACTTAGAAAGCTTTATTTTACTTGTGTTTCTTAAAGTAAATCTAGATTGCCAGAATATGCTGGTTTTAGGGGAAAAACTCTCTTTAAGTTTATGTCCTATAGATGGGTATGTGTGTGTCTGCATAGATATGATTAAGCATATGCTTCGGATGAGCTATGAGTACCTAGAGGGAGGAAGAGCTTATAAAAAGACGATAATTCCTGTTGTAGGACTCAGCAGCTCTTTTCTACTATCCCAGAGCAGTTTTGAGAGAGGGAGATTACCAGTTGGAAGCATCAGAAAGCTGTAGTCTCAAGTATCCTCACTGACAATTTTATGAGACCGTTGTTATAGGAAATGAGAGTCTAAACAAGGTTTCATACTTCTTAAAGCAGCAGAGTTATTTTTTAAATGAAAGAAATAAAAGGGATGAAAATGAACAACACAATTTGATTTAAATGCCAACACTTCTCTTATTCTCTCCAGTGTAACTGCCAAAGAGTAGGTGGGCAGGGGGAGGGTGAAAGAAGCAACACCTTGGTATGGATTTTAAACACTAGGAAACCAAGGACAAAACAAATAACAAATTTAGGTGAGTGTTTAGGGGTTTTGTGGATTTTTTTTAAAGCTCTACCTTTAGCTTTTCATTACAAGAAAATTATGGAAATGTATACATGAGATTTTTAGCATTTTTATGAAGAGAGGATTATTTGTTAGTCAAGGTTAGAGAGAAGCAAAAAATTCCAGGTAGTTCTGTCAGGATCTCGAAATAATGATAGATGAAATTTAAACTCAACATAAGTAAGGTAATGTTGCAGAAGCTGAGATTTTCAATAACTATGTTTATGCATTGTGACAGCTTATAAATTAAAAACCTAGCAACTCTAAGGAAATATACCCAGCCATCACCCAGGATAATGTAATAGAGGTGACGGCTCTATAAAAAGGGGAGTTTGGACCTGATGCTGTATAGAAAATGGAAGAGGAAGTTAATTTGAAAGTAGTACTTTACTGATTATCTGGCATCCTACAATGAAAAAATGAATGCTAAAAACGTCAGAAGCTGCTATGAAATAAGTAGGCCTGGTAAGAGCTGGTAGGAGTATAGGTGGCAAATTATATTAACTGTAGATTCAAATAATACAACTGTTGCTTTTAAATTCTTCATATAATTCATTAGTGTGGGCTATTGTTTATGAGAGCCAAGACAATATAATGTAAGTTGGCCTGATTACTCAGGGCGGAAAAGAGGAAAGTCAAGATAAGTTAAAATGATTAAAGAGTTAAAATAAGAAAAGTCAAACGTAGCTTGTGAAATTACCACCTTAGAGAATTTTCAAGAGTCCTTGAGACAATTCTAAACTCAAAACCGGAGAATTAAACCATTTCAGTGTAGTCGTATAAGATCTTGGCTCAGTCATTAAACATCTCTCAACCTCTGTTCCCCTGTCTTGAAAGGTAAACAATGGTTTCTTCGATGCCTTCCAGCACCAAACTAGTTTTCTTTTGTCTGAAATTATGTTTAATACTAACATAAGTAAGATTGAAGACATTTCCTCATCCATTTTCTTAACTACTAAATGATATTGCTTTGTGGCCTATGTAACTTTCACTCTTCCTCTGACTCAATGTATTGATCTGCTTATCTCAGTGAGAGAGACCCTGAAATGGTCATAGTGACCATTAGCCCACCATGTGGGTTTTGGTTTTTTTGTTTTTTTTTTTTACTTAAAAATATTCTGTTTTTAAGTGTAGAGAGAAGAATATGGACATACTAATCAGATAAACCTCGGTTTGAAACCTAACTGTGCCTTTCCAGCTGAATGCAGTAGCAACTGTGTTTCCTTATCTGGAAAAATAGGGCTAATACCCACCTTGAAGAATGAGTATTATTCAGCTCTGAGATCAATACATTTTGAGGTTTGTGTTCCCTTTCTTCCTATTTATAATCTGCTAGGGCCATCTAGAAAAGAAAACAGATTTGATTATTTTTAGAGTCTTTAAAGAAATCACTGCTGGTTTACAATAAAACCTTTATACAAAATGGAGTGAAGTAAGTGTCGAATAGTAAAAATCAGCCACTCTGACAGGGTTTGAATATCAAGGGGGTTTAAGGCAATAGGCACTAAGTCAACATACACCTCCAGGGTTCTTCTGCAGAACATTATAACCGGTCATTTCTTCGCTTATGGGCAAGATTTCCAGAATACCATGGGAAAATTAACCCTTATTTCAGTATATTAGGCTTCGAAGTCGGAATAGAAAAGCTCCCCGGATCTATTTGCAGAGCCCGAAAGGCCTGGTTCTAGACGCTGGAGGGTTAGTCACAATGGGTTTAAGCCCCGTGGTGGTCTCTTCCCCAGATCCCCCAGCTCCTACTGGGTGCCAAGACCTGAAGGCATCCCACCCTCTCCTTGATTTCTTCTGATCTCCCACCCCCACCCTACTCGGCTGCTTCTCCTTTTCCATCTTCGCTTTCTCCCAGAAGTGGTCAAAATGGGAAACGTTAGTATCTATTTGTTGCTTGGTGTGGTGCTCGAAAAGGTTTTTTAATTAAGAAAAAAAAAAAAAAATCCTCTTCAGGTTCTTCATTTTGCCGTGAGTCCGAGTGTCCGCCGGTCCCCTTGTCCTCCCCCATCCAAGTGTCGTTCATTCTGTGAGGAGGCTCGAGTCTGTCGGAGGGGGTCTGCGCCTCCAGCCGCACAGAGGGATCTGGGAGCAAACCGGCTCGGGATCCCGAGAGGCGCGGGGAGCACCGCCCCCCACCCGGCAGGGAGGTGCTGGAGAGGCGGCGGCCCGGCCCAGCCGGGGAAGCCCGTCCCGGGAGCCGGAGGGGCGCGGGCAGCGGCGGCGGCGGCGGGGACGCGGCGCGGCTGCCGCAGGGGAGCGGCGGCGGCGGGCGCGAGGGGCGGGGCGCACTCCGCAACTTCTGCCGCTGCCTCCCGGGCGCGCTCGGGCGAGGCGCGCGGCGGCTGCGGGCTGCGGGGCGGCCAGCCGAGCGGCGCCCGCGGGCCCGTGAGCCGCGCGTAGCGGGCGTCGGTCTGTGCTGGGGGCGCCTCCCGCGGGGAGTCTCGGCGCGGCCGCGCTCCTGCGTGGTCTGCAGCGACTGGGGCCCCGGGACGTGCGGGGCCGCGGGGCCGAGCCGAGGCGCCCCCCAGCGGCCGGCGCGGGCCCCATGGCTGGGCCGGGCGGAGCGGAACCGGCGAGGTGAGGCCCCCGGGCCGGAGGCCGGAGCGCGTGGCGGGGGCGCCGGCTCCATGGGCAGCAGCGCACAGCGGCACGATGATGGACGTTAACAGCAGCGGCCGCCCGGACCTCTACGGGCACCTCCGCTCTTTGCTCCTGCCAGAGGTGGGGCGCGGGCTGCCGGACCTGAGCCCCGACGGCGCCGGCCCGGTCTCGGGCTCCTGGGCGCCGCACCTGCTGCGCGGGGTCCCGGAGGTGACGGCCAGCCCGGTGCCCACCTGGGACGCGCCGCCGGACAATGCCTCCGGCTGCGGGGAGCAGATCAACTATGGCAGAGCCGAGAAAGTTGTGATCGGCTCCATCCTGACGCTCATCACGCTGCTGACGATCGCAGGCAACTGCCTGGTGGTGATCTCGGTGTGCTTCGTCAAGAAGCTCCGCCAGCCCTCCAACTACCTGATCGTGTCCCTGGCGCTGGCCGACCTCTCGGTGGCCGTGGCGGTCATGCCCTTCGTCAGCGTCACCGACCTCATCGGGGGCAAGTGGATCTTTGGCCACTTCTTCTGCAACGTCTTCATCGCCATGGACGTCATGTGCTGCACGGCCTCGATCATGACCCTATGCGTGATCAGCATCGACAGGTAAGGGCCGGGCCACCCCGTCCCGGGTCCGGCTGGGGATGTGCTGACGCTCCACCGCTAGCGCTCGCCTTTCTTGGGAGGATAAGCCAGACTCCTAGGCGGGATGAAGGGCTGCGCCGAAAACATCAACCCCTACACATCAACCCTACACCAACTGAGCAACTTCAGTTAGAGCGGAGCCTATATGCACCTTGAAAAGAAGAGCCCGAAATGTTTTAGTGAGGGTTTTAAGACCAAAGTTTAAGTATTTTAAACATTAGCAGTTCCAGCAGGGGGTCCCTGGGCTTGGTTTTTAGAAGGAAAGGATCTGATCCTTTCTGAGCTTGACAGACCCTTGCTGTGAGTCTGAAAGTGTCATTTCTTACTTTAAGAAATCAGTCGTTGGAAAGGCTCCTTGCTTCCAGATTGTGGGAGCTCCTTCCCAGGCCAGTGAGGGGACTGAGGAGGGTTCCAGAATTGGGGTTCTACATATCTAAACGTTGCATCCCTATCATTGCTGTTTCCAAATCTCATTCTCCTGGAAGTCTGATTTTAGCTTTCGGCAAAGCTGTCTGTATCCTGCAGCCCTGCTGACTGGAGCCTTACTCCCTGTCTGAATGGTTGGTTCTAGTCTTTCATCACATCCCTTGAGAATCTTCTCTTACGAACTCCCCAGTGGAGTAATTGCAACAGAGGCTGACCATCTTCAGAGATATTGAGGGGAAAATTTCGGTAAAATTCTTGGGTGACAGATAGGGCTAGGAGACCCTGAGGTTTCTTCAGACTCTAGGATTACAGGATGCTGCAATGGAGCTAGTCTTTGGTCCCTGAAACACAGTGCAACTGACAACTTGAAGGATGGTCCCAATGTCCTTTGGCCACCTAATAACTCTGTTTCTCTTGAAAGTGAAATATTAAACCTTTGTGTTCACCCACGTAATTCTGCTGGTGTTTTAAAACCCGCACAGGACTGGTATCCTGTTGTGTTTAATGATACAGAGAAACGATGGCTTATTTTCTTTGTGGATCTATGGAACCTTTAAATATATAAACCCTTCAGCATAGAAGAAATAATTGATGCCTCCACACTTAAAATGACAGCGCCTCAAAGGATGGTATAGCAGGAAGCTGAGATTTTCTTCCTTTTCCTCCCTGTAAACACTGCTGTTTGTGGTTTGTTGATGTTTAACATGTTGTCCTATTTTACTGCTTGACCAGGGTTTATAATTACTGAATAAAGGGAATGATATGAAAGGGGATATTTTCAAGGAAAAAATATATTGTAGCTGCATTTAAAGATCTAGGTTATTTTTAAAGAATTGATCCTGCCATTTCATATATCATGTCAGGTTGGAGCTTCTGAGAGCAAACAAGGAATTATTTTTAAGAGTAGTGCACGGATGGCATATACGAGAATATTAGCTCCAAACTTGACAGCTGAAGTTCTGAATTACTGTAGTGAAGAATGACAAAAACATATGCACTCACAGTCTGGCTGTGGCAACAGGAAATATGAGCGAGCACTCAATATACATAGTGAGTATATAAATGAATTGTAAGCATAAAAATTGAACTGCTAAGCCAACCAAATCGGCGCTTCTTGCATGAATGGAGTCCTTTTAAATGGAACTTGGTGTACTACAACACATGCCAATTTATGGTGCAAGAAATGCATTTATAATTTTTCTTCCTTTCGTAATTGATTAGTGATATGTAAACAGCACAGTATACTGACTCATCTCCTAACACAGGCGGTGCTTCTGTCCTGCTGGGCGCATTCAGGTTTGGCTTGGGACCACCCTGAGATTCCTGTACATGAGCTAAAGGCTTGTCACTCAGGGTACACATGTGACTTACCAACAAGCAGCAGGAATGTTTCCATGACAGAGGTTAATTCTTCTTGGCAAGAGCTTCCGGTTTCTTTATCCAGTATATCCTTACGATTGTCACAAATTGTGGTAATATAGGGATATAGACTCTATCTCTTTATTTCCTATGAGAATTGCTCCATTGGTGAATTCTGCTTCAAAATTATTTTGGAGGATGAACATAGGTTTTATTTTTTTTTCTGATAAAATGAAGAGCTGATAACACTGGAAGATGCAGATTGCTTTTCTTCCAAGAACACACAAAAATAAAAATGAGAAAGAGGAAATTGCTTTCGATATCTAAGGTGAATTATTTCTGAAGAGACTGTTTTTTTCAGTTCCATTGTAGACTATGACCAATGACATACAGATGTACTAAGAAAATATGAAACATTTTAATCTTCACTTATCCATCCCCTCTTGAGTACAAGGTTAGGTTACAGTGTGCTTTGTGAAGTATAATCAAGGGTGAATAATAGTTTTCCTGCTTTTGAGTATAGTGGGAGCTTCATTATCGTTCCACTACCAAACAATCTTTCTTACATCTTTTCTTTACATCTTTCTTACATCTGTTCCCTTTTTACTTCTGCCCAGTTAAAGGGCCAAAAGACATTGTGTCCTGGGAAAGACCAAACCACCTACGCTTCACATCCCATCCCCTCTTATCTCAAGGATTTTGCTCCTTCCTTGATCCTACTTCTCTTCTTTGTCTTCAGTGTTTCCTCTCAACTGGGTCAAGCTTGATCTTTTATTTTCCTTTGGCCTTACTTCTCCAGTTACTGCTCCACTTCCCAGTTAAGCCGCTCAAAGAACTGTGCCCACAAGCTGTCTTTATGTCCTTCCTCCTTGGGTAGATGAGTTTGGCACTATCAGGTCTACTGGAGTATTTGAACTGGTCTTGTTGGTTTCTTTTCTGTCAAGTCCATTGCCAATGAAGTAGCTAGAATGGTCTCTTAAAAATTTTTGTTTTAAGTGAGATAACATTTATCTATAGCAAAATGCACAGATATTAAATGCATAGCTTGATGTGTTTGACAAATGTCTATGCCCAATATTCCAATATTCCTATCAGGATATAGCATATTTTTATAATTTTAGAAAGTTGCCTTGTGCCCCTTTCAGAATGATCTTTTAAAAATAGAAATCGAGGCACCTGGGTGGCTCAATCAGTTCAGCGTCTGACTCTTGATTTTGGCTTGGTCATGATTCTCAGGGTCCTGAGATCTTTGAACCCCAGGTGGGGCTCTGTGCTCAGCAGGGAGTCTGCTTGAGATTCTTTCCCTCTGTCCCTTTCCCCACTTGCTCTCTCCCTCTCTTTCTAAATAAATAATTAAAAAAAAATAAAAATAGAGATCAAGTTATATTTTATATATAGTTTAAAACATATAAAAGAGCTCTCTCTATACATTGTTTAGATGAGTCCAAGGAGTAAAGGGAAAAAGAGTGCAGAGGAATGATGAACACTTCACTCACGGGAGTGGTTATGTCTGTGGGGGGCGGTTATAATGAGGGAGTAACACACATACCAACTATACCAGTAATGTTTTCTTTCTAATTTTGATGGTTGATACAGTCTTGTTATTCTCTGTATAGCTTTCTGTTAGTCTGAAATATATTTTTAATGTCTTTTGGAAATACATATAGAAAACAAACAATCCTAAGTATAGAGTTTGATAAATTTCCATAAAGCAAACACTTTGATGTAATCTGCCACTAGATCAAGAAACTGAATATTACCACCCTCCCAGAGGTCCCCTTCTGCCCCTTTCTAGTTTCTGATACTCCAAGGATAACTTATCCTGACTTTTTGCATCATGAATTAGTTTCACTTGGTTAGAACCTCATATAAATGTAACAGTATAGTATGTAATCTTAATTCTGGCCTCTTTTTGCTCAATATAATATCTCTGTGATTGACCCATAGTTTATAGTCTGTCGGTATTTTATTTTGTTTTATTTTATTTATTTATTTTTTGGGTAATACTCCATTTAATTTGCTTATCAGTTCATCTGTAGATGGACATTTGAATTGTTTCCAGTTTCTAAATACCACTAATAGTGCTGCTATAAGCATTTATTTGTATACTATTCATTTTGGGGACATGTTTTCATTTGTTTTGGGTGAGTACAATACTGTATAGTAAGGTTCCTTATTGTATTTTAATTCTGTTTACCCCTGTACATCCTTTGTGTTACTGTTGTCATGCATTTTAATCTACATATTTAGAAAATCTAGAGGTGCCTGGGTGGCTGTGGGTTAAAGCCTCTGCCTTTGGCTCAGGTCATGATCCCAGGGTCCTGGGATCAAGCCCCACATGCATTGGGCTCTCTGCTCAGCAGGGAACCTGCTCCCCCCCCCCCCCCCCCCCCTCCCTTTCTCCCTACTTTTGTTCTCTGTCAAATAAATAAATAAAAAATCTTAAAAAAAAAATCTATCATATTATTTTTATTTTAGACAGTCAGTATTCATTCTTATTTCCCCACATGTTTACCTTTTCATTGCTCTTTATTTTTTTCCTACATTACCATGTTTTCATCTGGGATTATTTTCTTCTGCCCAGTTAAACTTTCATTAACATTTTTTTTTTAAGTGAGGGTTTGTTAGTAACAATTACTGTCAATTTGTGTTTATCTGAAACTGTCTTAATTTTGCCATCACTTTTGAATGACATTTTCTCTGAGTATGTAATTCTATGTTTGAGGGATTTTCAGCACTCTAAAACATTCTTCCATTGTCTTCATGTTTCTGTCATTTCTGGAGAAAAATAAGCCATTCACCAACATTATTATTATGCTGTTGAAGATAATGTGTGTTTTTTTCTTCTGGTTGCTTTTAGGATTTTCTCTTTGTCTTTGGTTTTTATCAGTTTTTCTAAGATGTCCCCAGGTGTGGTGTTATTGATTATTTTTTACTGTTTATTTGCTGTCAACCCTGCTGGGATTCTTAATTTTTTTATTTGTGCATTGATGTCTCTGATCAGTTTGCTGTTATCTCTTTAAATAATTTTACTGTCCCATTCTTTCTCTCTTCTGTGTCTTAAATTTATATAATTTAGAACTTTTACTCTGTCACACATGTCTCTTATACTCTTTATTTTCCATTTTATGCTGTGATTCCATTTTGAAAAATTTTTGACCTGCCTTCCAATTTAT